TCTCAAATTGTGATCAACAGTATCAACGCAAAATTACTGTCTATGCAGATGAGCTAGAGATGGCTGTCGATGTCTCTGGGCCAATGAAATTAAAGACACACTGGCTGTGGCATGAGATGAAGCATCTCAACTCCGACGATTTGATTGACAAATGGCTGTTTCCACTCTAGCGGCACGGCCGAGATCCCAGGCGTTATTTACACAATGTGCTTATAGAGTTTGGGCTTCAACTGCCATGAACTCTTCAAATTGAGAACGAGATGGAATCAGACAAGGTCACTTTATTTTGTTCTTCTCCTTATGTTGTTTGTGTGTTGGTGTGTCTGCATGTGTGTCTGCGTGTGTGTCTGTATGTCTGCTTATGTGTATGTGTGTCTGTGTGTCTGCGTGTGTGTATGTGTTCTGCGTGTGTGTATGTGTGTCTGCGTATGCGTCTATGGGTCTACGTGTGTGTTTGCGTATGTGTATCTTTAGGTGAGTGTATCTTAGGTATGTGTATCTTTAGGTGAGTGTATCTTAGGTATGTGTATCTTTAGGTGAGTGTGCCTGTGTATATGTAAGTGTATGCGTGGACATCAGCCTGAGTCTGAATGTATGTTTGTGGATGCGTTTTTTGTGTGTGTTTGTGGGTCTGTGTGTGTGGGTCTGTGTGTGTGTGTGTGTGTGTGTGTGTGTGTGTGTCTGCGTCTGCGTCTGTGTCTGCGAGTGTCTGTTTGTGTGTCTGCTGGTTTGTGTGTCTATGTCTGTGTGTATATATGTGTGTGTTTGTGTCTGAGCGCGTGTTTGTTTATGTGTGTATGTGTTTGTTTCTGTGGGTGTGTCTGTATGTGCATGTGTGTTTATGTATGTGTCTGGAATGTGTGTATGGATGTGAGCATGTAGGTGTTTATGTGTGTGTGAATGTATGTAGGCGTATATGGATGTGTATATATGCGTATTTAAGTAAGTGTGTGGGCGCGTGTATGTGTGTATGTGCTAGTTGGTGCGCTAGTGGGTGCGTGCATTTTACGACCCATGTTATTACGTTTTTTCTTGATATTCACAATATGCATATAATCATATCAATATAACATGCTCATTGATGAAATACAACTACAGTGTAAAAGACGAGCTTTTGGAAGGGTCGAATGTAAGACGGGCCTGCGTGCATAGTTTGTGACATTATGAAAATAAAGTTAGTTTGTTAGTTCGTTTGTTCTATCTATCTGTCTGTCTATCTATCTATCTATCTATCTATCTATCTATCTATCTATCTATCTATCTATCTATCTATCTATCTATCTATCTATCTATCTATCTATCTATCTATCTATCTATCTATCTATCTATCTATCTATCTATCTATCTATCTATCTATCTATCTATCTATCTATCTATCTATCTATCTATCTATCTATCTATCTATCTATCTATCTATCTATCTATCTATCTATCTATCTATCTATCTATCTATCTATCTATCTATCTATCTATCTATCTATCTATCTATCTATCTATCTATCTATCTATCTATCTATCTATCTATCCATCTTTCTATCTATCTATCTATCTATCTATCTATCTATCTATCTATCTATCTATCTATCTATCTATCTATCTATCTATCTATCTATCTATCTATCTATCTATCTATCTATCTATCTATCTATCTATCTATCTATCTATCTATCTATCTATCTATCTATCTATCTATCTATCTATCTATCTATCTATCTATCTATCTATCTATCTATCTATCTATCTACCTACCTACCTACCTACCTACCTACCTACCTACCTACCTACCTACCTACCTACCTACCTACCTACCTACCTACCTACTTACCTACCTACCTACCTACCTACCTACCTACCTACCTACCTACATACCTGTCTGTCTGTCTGTCTGTCTGTCTGTCTGTCTGTCTGTCTGTCTGTCTGTCTGTCAGTCTGTCTGTCTGTCTGTCAGTCTGTCTGTCTGTCTGTCAGTCTGTCTGTCTGTCTGTCTGTCTGTCTGTCTGTCTGTCTGTCTGTCTGTCTGTCTGTCTGTCTGTCTGTCTGTCTGTCTGTCTGTCTGTCTGTCTGTCTGTCTGTCTGTCTGTCCATTAATCCATTAATCCATTCATCCATCCATCTATCCATCTATCCATCCGTCCGTTCGTGTCCATCCACCCTACCCTCCCTACGTCTGTCTGTCTGTCTACCTATCTGGCGATCTGCCAATCAATGCAGCTGTCTGTGCATCGCTCTGTCTATATATTTGTGTGTCTATATCATTAGCATGTGCCCAGCCAACTGGCGTCGGCGCTCATGCGTCTTCACAGATCACGATCACTGGTTGCCTAGAACAGCTCTCTTGATGATATCTCTCCATGCCATCGTTTTAACCCATCTAGAATCATCTCTCTTGGTCTGCCTCTTCCCTTTTTCCACTGATCTTTCCAGTTGTCGCGATGTTCTCCAAAGTCTGTCTTCTCATTACGTAGCCAAAGAACTGTGTTTGTCTCTTTCTAATTGTTGTATATGGAGATTTACTTTCATTAGCCTCTTTCAAGCAATCATTGTTAGTTACTCTGGCCGTCCAAGAGGTATTTGTAACATTCGTCTCAGAAACCACCTCTCTGTTGCTTCCAAATTCTTCTTAATTTGTTCAGTGACATTCCAAGATTCGCTGCCATACAGCAGAACAAGTTCTATGTAACATTCTAGCAGCCTCTTTCTGACATGAAATGAGAGCGATTTATTGCAAAAGATATTTTTCATTTTCTGAAATGCAGCTTTCGCTTCACCTATTCTGCTTTTAATCTTTGTCACACATTTTCTATCTGATGATTTGATTGTTCCCAGATATTTTAATTTATTGACTTGGTTAAGTCTTTTTCCTTCAACTGAGATATTACAACATGGAAATATCTATTTCTTTGATATAACCATTACTTCCGTTTTCTTAATATTCAATGAAAGTCCTTTCTTAGTGTGAAAGCCCAAAAGGCCATGGGAACAGCAATTAGTTTTAGACGATAACGCGAAGAAACCTGGCCAGCCATCAGTTAATAAAAGACCTTGCTTAGTCTTTTAGCTGTCTATTTGGCTTCCAGACCGACCCTGCAGGACACCGACCCAGCTGTTGCGGCTCTGCAGATTGGGCTAGACAGCTTGGGTACGGGCGACTGCAGGAGAAGGCCGTTGTCTGGCTGGTTTCACGATATGTTTCATTTGCTTGGATGCTGTTAGATTTCATTTCCATTGTGCACCCTTGCTAGGAGATATTTTGATGGCAGGTCGATATAACTGATTTGTTGGTCTGGTGGCATACTGAAGCTCAACGAAATGTTAAATATGTTTCGGGTTTTGCTATTGTTGAGGTAATCTCGCTGAGCGTATGGTGTCATTATCATATTTCCTTGTTAGCTAGAGATGATAGCTTTAGATTTTGGTCGAGCACTTTGGTTGTTGTTAATATTATTTGTGGACCACGCTGACTTTATGTTAAGTGAAATAAAAAGATGTTCAATGTGGTAATCATAGTTCTAATTTATTTTGGTTAAAATTAGGACCTGTGGTTAGTGTGTCTAGTTTATTTGCTGTTTGGCTGATCTAGACTGTACACAGAAGATCTCTTGTCTGGGCTAGAATATTTTTGTTTCTAGTCTTGAATCTTTGGCTCTCATGTAATCCGGTAATGTGGTAGCCAAGTAATGGAATAATCTGGTAACCAAGTAATGGAATAATCTGGTAACCAAGTAATGGAATAATCTGGTAACCAAGTAATGGAATAATCTGGTAACCAAGTAATGGAATAATCTGGTAACCAAGTAATCAGGTAATCTGGTAACCAAGTCGTCGGGTAATCTGGTGTCATTTAACTAACAACGAGCAATAAACCCCCGGTGACACATAGTTTCAATATTCGTTATGATAATAACCCGGGTACACGTCTCTGAAACCCAGTGTAACCGTTAGGCTATAATTAGGGCCCCGACAACACCCCCGATGAGGTTTTGTCTCCCACACTGGGACGGAGATATATATATATATATAGATATATGATGAATTAGTCTGGTCCCCCTGGTGGTAGCAGAGTAACCTAAAGTCCCGACAGGGTAGAACGGTCTCTAAGTGCGATTATTTCTATCTATCTTCTCTTACCCCACCAGGTCATTACACAAGCAATAAACACCCGATGACACAAAGTGCAACCATGCGGATGAGGATAACCCGTGGAGAGGTAACAGAAACCGCGTTCAGCCATTAGATCATGAGTGACTTTCTACCCCACTAGGACATCACACAAGCGATAAACACCCGATGACACAACGTGCCACCATGTGGATGAGGATCACCGTGGAGAGGTCCCAGAAACCGCGTTCAGACATTTAGCCATTTTTATGGCCTGCCTATATTGCGGCCCCTGTCAAAAGCCAGAGTGGGGCTTCAAATAACAAAAAATTACGTCCTGAAAAGGACGTTAGGACATGCCATTAGACCATATTTATAGCCGGGCTATATTGCGGTCCCTGGCAAGAGCCAGTGTAGGGCTTCAAATAACGAAAAATTGCACCTACAAAGGGGTGACTAAGAGTTAAGTGCGATTACAGAACAGGCACAAGAAAGAAAGAAAGAAAGAAAGAAAGAAAGAAAGAAAGAAAGAAAGAAAGAAAGAAAGAAAGAAAGAAAGAAAGAAAGAAAGAAAGAAAGAAAGAAAGAAAGAAAGAAAGAAAGAAACTGCGTTGGAAAAAAACACTTTATGGGAGACAACTAATACAATTCTTTGCTTTTTAAAATAAATGTTACTTCCCTTACTTTAGATGTTAACGTGTGCATTGACCTCTTTCTTGGAATTGCAAGGCTTGTTTCATTTTCGAGTAGCCCCATTGATTTTGGACCCTGAACATATTGTTTCAGTTTCAGATCTTAGCAGCCTATCACATGACCCTGTCTACGTGGTGTGACTCGTCAAGTGAAGTCTTTTGTAGAAACGGTTCATCAAATACAATTAAAATATTAATTGTGACTTAATAATGGATCGCGACAAGGAACAGACAAACAAGGAGGTAAGTATCCATTTAATTTAATCCGCCATCGGGTCGCCCTAAATTAAGTGTCTCCATTGGTCGCATCAACATTGCAAGTCCGTTTTAAGGCTTCTAATGGGTGCAAAGGCAAGCCATTATATATGGCTCACATAACCCAGTCATTATTATAATAACTTTAGGGGATGCTAGTTGAAATTGACGATTTTTTTAGTCGCCTGAGGCCATCGAAAAACACATATTTATTGAAGTTATAAATTTAAAAAAATTGTTTCAGAACATGAGCGAACTGTTTGAAAGGTTCGCGGCATGATGAATGTTGAGAGCCACTTATCTAGATATATACCTGTGTGCCTTCCTATTGCTCTGTTGCCATGGAGATTCCCACTTGCCAAGTTGAGTGGTCAAGTTTTTTTCCCTGGAACTATTGTTAAGAAAACGCAAGCCAGCGCCAGATCAGCAATTATAGATTCTGACAGAAGTAGCCAGAATAAGCGATGTAGATTTTTCACAAGTGACCTGATTAGCAAGAAACCATGCAAGTGTACCTTCCTGTGTGTTCTGTCATTCATAGACCCTGTGTGTGTGTATGTGTCTGCTATGTGCCCTAATATCCATCTTTTAGCTACAGTTTTAGCTTAACTACGTGCCCTGATATCCATAGTTTAGCTATAGTTTTAACTTAACTATGTGCCCTGATATCCATAGTTTAGCTACAGTTTTAACTTAACTATGTACCCTGAAATCTATCTTTTAGCTACAGTTTTAACTTAACTATGTGCCCTGATATTCATCTTTTAGTTACAGTTTTAACCTGACTGTGTGCCCTGATATCCATAGTTTAGCTACAGTTTTAACTTAACTATGTACCCTGAAATCTATCTTTTAGCTACAGTTTTTAACTTAACTATGTGCCCTGATATTCATCTTTTAGTTACAGTTTTAACCTGACTGTGTGCCCTGATATCCATAGTTTAGCTACAGTTTTAACTTAACTATGTACCCTGAAATCTATCTTTTAGCTACAGTTTTAACTTAACTATGTGCCCTGATATTCATCTTTTAGTTACAGTTTTAACCTGACTGTGCCTTGATATTCATAGTTTAGCTACAGTTTTAACCTGACTATGTGCCCTTGATATCCATAGTTTAGCTACAGTTTTAACCTGACTATGTGCCCTTGATATCCATAGTTTAGCTACAGTTTTAACTTAACTTTGTGCCCTGATGCAGTGTCTGTGGCTTAGGCGTTGCGAGTCAGACTCATAATTCCAACATACAGTGATTGAAACCCACTGCTGGCTGCGTGGATTTGTATCATGGTATGGGGCGTCGCAGGTCGACCCAGCCTAAAATGGGTACCAGGATGGCTGTCCTCGGGAAGTAAAGACGGCTGGCGTAATGCTGGCCACATTACCCACCTAGTGCTGATGGTCTGTAAAAATATGGGTGCTCTTTCCATGTACCCGATACGCTGAAAAGGCATAAATACTTTTCCTTTACTTATGTGCCCTGATATTCATATTTTAGATACAGTTTTATGTTAAACACTTATGTTCATACACATAGTTTAGATAGTTTAAAATTTACAATGTATGTCTGTATCCATATTTTAGGTGCAGCTTGAAGTCCCATGAGGTAATATTTTTGTTCTTATAGTATTTGACATAAGTTTTGCCAAGTGTATGAAGTGTTGTCCAGTTAAATATGAGGCCAGCATTTATATTCTCTCAACACCTCATAATTAGAACTGTTAAAGCTGCTGATGTGTTCATAAATTCCTGACTGTTCAGAGCTGTAGAGCATGTGAGAATTAACAATTCTGATGATATTTGTCTACAGGCCTGCCGTCTCCGAGAATTGTTCCGAGGGAGGTTTGACCAAGACACAGCTGTCAAGCTTATCACAGAGCTTGGAGGGTTGCTTCCGGCAACGGATTTTATTTTCAATGGTAACATTTCAGTAGCAATAATTACTACAACAGAGATATGCCATAATTATAACTACCACCCATGCCACAGTCACCAGATGGGCTACTAGGCACTTGCCCATGGGTTCCACACATAGGGGTGCTATGTTTATCTGTGCATGTCAAGTGACTTGTCACACACACAAATACTGAATTCCTGTGAGTGGTTGTCGTACATGGTTTCTCCAGGGGTGCTGTGTTTATCTGTGCATGTCAAGTGACTTGTCACACACACAAATACTGAATTCCTGTGAGTGGTTGTCGTACATGGTTTCTCCAGGGGTGCTGTGTTTATCTGTGCATGTCAAGTGACTTGTCACACACACAAATACTGAATTCCTGTGAGTGGTTGTCGTACATGGTTTCTCCAGGGGTGCTGTGTTTATCTGTGCATGTCAAGTGACTTGTCACACACACAAATACTGAATTCCTGTGAGTGGTTGTCGTACATGGTTTCTCCAGGGGTGCTGTGTTAATCTGTGCACGTCAAGTGACTTGTCACATACACAAATACTGAATTCCTGTGAGTGGTTGTCGTACATGGTTTCTCCAGGGGTGCTGTGTTAATCTGTGCATGTCAAGTGACTTGTCACACACAAAAATACTGAATTCCTGTGAGTGGTTGTCGTACATGGTTTCTCCAGGGGTGCTGTGTTAATCTGTGCATGTCAAGTGACTTGTCACACACAAAAATACTGAATTCCTGTGAGTGGTTGTCGTACAAAGTTTCTCCAGGGGTGCTGTGTATCTGTGCATGTCAAGTGACTTGTCACACACACAAATACTGAATTTCTGTGAGTGGTTGTTGTACATGGTTTCTCCAGGGGTGCAGTGTTAATCTGTGCATGTCAAGTGACTTGTCACACACAAATACTGAATTCCTGTGAGTGGTTGTCGTACATGGTTTCTCCAGGGGACTGTAATGCTGTTAGGCTCATAAGATGGCTCTGACAACCATTTCTGTGAATGTTACTTTGACACTATTGCTTTAGCTATATTGCTGTCACCTATTATCTGGCAAGAAAAATTGTATAGTTTTAACAGGCATGTCAGCTGATAAGCATACATCATGGATGATGTAGACTTTTGCAGACGCATCTTGACATTTATTGATGTTGAGGTGTCTAAGGATATAACAAGCTTAGGCACATTTCTCCTATCTTTTCAATCACTCTACTTTTTCATGCCGAACGTTTGACATGTGAGATGACCTCAAACCATCACAGATGGATTCCGACAGAGTTGCCCTGCTCTACCAGGAGTTATGCGTATCTCAAATACAGATAACATATATCTGGAGCCCATCTTGTTACTTACAGACATAATTTTTCATCTTCTTCTCCTCTTTTTTCTTCACTCTCCTCCTCTTTCTTCTTTTTCAAAACTAAAAGGAAAGGAGAGACATACATATACAGTCAGACAGTTACTGGTATGCCAGAATTGGAACTCTATTCTTGCTGCTGAAGATGAGGATGCAGCACCTAGGGGAATGTCCTGAGTGCTTTATTGTTGATCTAACATTCAACATTGGACTTATCTAACTGTCATTTCACCTGAAAGCTTACAGGTATTTTGTAGAGCCAACTCACCTACTCTCAATGACCACCATCTGTGTTGGTCCACAGCCACTTCTTCAACTCACCTCCTCTCAATGACCACCCTCTGTGTTGGTCCACAGCCACTTCTTCAACTCACCTACTCTCAATGACCACCGTCTGTGTTGGTCCACAGCCACTTCTTCAACTCACCTACTCTCAATGACCACCATCTGTGTTGGTCCACAGCCACTTCTTCAACTCACCTACTCTCAATGACCACCGTCTGTGTTGGTCCACAGCCACTTCTTCAACTCACCTACTCTCAATGACCACCGTCTGTGTTGGTCCACAGCCACTTCTTCAACTCACCTACTCTCAATGACCACCGTCTGTGTTGGTCCACATCCACTTCTTCAACTCACCTACTCTCAATGACCACCGTCTGTGTTGGTCCACAGCCACTTCTTCAACTCACCTACTCTCAATGACCACCGTCTGTGTTGGTCCACATCCACTTCTTCAACTCACCTACTCTCAATGACCACCGTCTGTGTTGGTCCACAGCCACTTCTTCAACTCACCTACTCTCAATGACCACCATCTGTGTTGGTCCACAGCCACTTCTTCAACTCACCTACTCTCAATGACCACCGTCTGTGTTGGTCCACAGCCACTTCTTCAACTCACCTACTCTCAATGACCACCGTCTGTGTTGGTCCACAGCCACTTCTTCAACTCACCTACTCTCAATGACCACCGTCTGTGTTGGTCCACATCCACTTCTTCAACTCACCTACTCTCAATGACCACCGTCTGTGTTGGTCCACAGCCACTTCTTCAACTCACCTACTCTCAATGACCACCGTCTGTGTTGGTCCACATCCACTTCTTCAACTCACCTACTCTCAATGACCACCATCTGTGTTGGTCCACATCCACTTCTTCAACTCACCTACTCTCAATGACCACCGTCTGTGTTGGTCCACAGCCACTTCTTCAACTCACCTACTCTCAATGACCACCGTCTGTGTTGGTCCACAGCCACTTCTTCAACTCACCTACTCTCAATGACCACCGTCTGTGTTGGTCCACAGCCACTTCTTCAACATATTTATAGCTCATCTCTGTCTGTAGAAGGCACTATACCATTTGCCGCTTGTTAGACATGCCTGGTAAGTTTCTACTCTAGGCTACAATAATTGCTACTACTACAAAAGATTCTGTTACTACTACAATAGATTATGTTACTACTACAATAGATTATGTTACTACTACAATAGATTATGTTACTACTACAAAAGATTCTGTTACTACTACAATAGATTATGTTACTACAAAAGATTCTGTTACTACTACAATAGATTATGTTACTACTACTGCTACTACTATTATCCATATCACCACTACTGCTACTGCTACAAACACATGCTCCACCTCCCCCACCCCCACCCCCCCCCCACCCCCTTTCCATTATCCTCTTTATTATCTTTTCCTTTTCATCTTTTTCTCAGTTATCTAATGTGATTATTCTCATTTGCTTTTTTTTCATCTTCAAAATACAGAGAAAGAGGAAGATGTTAGCAAATTCTTAAAACAGGTATAAATTATTCCGTCTGTATATTGTTTAACTCTCTGTGTTGTTTATCGTGTTATGTTGTTTATCTCTCTGTGTTGTTTATCTCTCTGTGTTGTTTATCTCTCTGTGTTGTTTATCTCTCTGTGTTGTTTATCTCTCTGTGTTGTTTATCTCTCTGAGTTGTTTATCTCTCTGCGTTGTTTATCTTTTTATTTTTTTTTATCTTTCTGTGTTGTTTATCTCTCTGTGTTGTTTATCTCTCTGTGTTGTTAATCTCTTTGTGTTGTTTATCTCTCTGTGTTGTTTATCTTTCTGTTTTGTTTATCTTTCTGTGTTGTTTAACTCTCTGTGTTGTTTATCTTTCTGTGTTGTTTATCTCTCTGTGTTGTTTATCTCTCTGTGTTGTTTATCTTTCTGTGTTGTTTATCTCTCTGTGTTGTTTATCTCTCTGTGTTGTTTATCTCTCTGTGTTGTTTATCTTTTTATTTTGTTTATCTTTCTGTGTTGTTTATCTCTCTGTGTTGTTTATCTTTCTGTGTTGTTTATCTCTCTGTGTTGTTTATCTCACTATGTTGTTTATCTTTCTGTTTTGTTTATCTCTCTGTTTTGTTTATCTCTCTGTGTTGTTTATCTCCCTATGTTGTTTATCTCTCTGTGTTGTTGTGTTGTTTATCTCACTATGTTGTTTATCTCTATGTGCCGTCTATGTCCCTGTGTTTTCTGTGTCTCTGTGTTGACCATGTCCCAGGGTTGTAGATGTCTCTGTGTTGTTTGTCTGTCTGTGTCTCTTTGTTGACCATGTCCCAGGGTTGTAGATGTCTCTGTGTTGTTTGTCTGTCTGTGTTTTCTGTGTCCCTGCATAACCTGGCCAGCTGCTAATGTTAAACCCATACATGACCTGGCCAGCTGCTAATGTTAAACCCATACATAACCTGGCCAGCTGCTAATGTTAAACCCATACATAACCTGGCCGGCTGCTAATGTTAAACCCATACATAACCTGGCCAGCTGCTAATGTTAAACCCATACATAATCTGGCCGGCTGCTAATGTTAAACCCATACATAACCTGGCCAGCTGCTAATGTTAAACCCATACATAACCTGGCCAGCTGCTAATGTTAAACCCATACATGACCTGGCCAGCTGCTAATGTTAAACCCATACATAACCTGGCCAGCTGCTAATGTTAAACCCATACATAACCTGGCCGGCTGCTAATGTTAAACCCATACATAACCTGGCCGGCTGCTAATGTTAAACCCATACATAACCTGGCCAGCTGCTAATGTTAAACCCATACATAACCTGGCCGGCTGCTAATGTTAAACCCATACATAACCTGGCCGGCTGCTAATGTTAAACCCATACATAATCTGGCCGGCTGCTAATGTTAAACCCATACATAACCTGGCCAGCTGCTAATGTTAAACCCATACATAATCTGGCCGGCTGCTAATGTTAAACCCATACATAACCTGGCCAGCTGCTAATGTTAAACCCATACATAACCTGGCCAGCTGCTAATGTTAAACCCATACATAACCTGGCCAGCTGCTAATGTTAAACCCATGCATAACCTGGCCGGCTGCTAATGTTAAACCCATAGATTACCTGGCCAGCTGCTAATGTTAAACCCATGCATAATCTGGTCGGCTGCTAATGTTAAACCCATACATAACCTGGCCAGCTGCTAATGTTAAACCCATGCATAACCTGGCCAGCTGCTAATGTTTTATCCATACAAAAACTGGCCGGCTGCTAATGTTAAACCCATACATAATCTGGCCACCTGCTAATGTTAAACCCATACATAATCTGGTCGGCTGCTAATGTTAAACCCATACATAATCTGGCCGGCTGCTAATGTTAAACCCATGCATAACCTGGCCACCTGCTAATGTTAAACCCATACATAACCTGGCCAGCTGCTAATGTTAAACCCATACATAATCTGGCCGGCTGCTAATGTTAAACTCATGCATAACCTGGCTGTTTGCTAATGTTAAACCCATGGATCTCTTGAGAGGGATCACAGTACCCACAGTACCATTATGTCTGTTTGAAACCAGAAAGATATTCCTAGGAAGTATTTATGTTTTACTTTCAGAGCACCACATACCTTCAGAGTTTGAGAGAGGATTCAAAGAAAGTAGCTTCTTTACTAGAGAACAAAATAGAAGACTCTGTGAGACAGTTTGTCTGTGGAGACTGTAAGCGCAGCTGGTGGAAGAGAGTTCCTCTCAGAAAAGAGGTAAATACAAGATCTGTAGTTATGAATTCCTACACCATCTGGCATCATATATGATGATGATGATGACCACTCCAACTATTTTAGTTGCAATGTCAGTGTATACCGACTGTTTATCATCTGAGATAATAAATCAGCTTGATTGTCATTTATCCTATATTGTTGTTTTTGTCATGTTCTAGTAACTAGATGTAAGTAAAATGGAATGTAAATCTAAACTGGACATAGAAAGTAGTAGCAGTTATGAAAACCGGTGATATACCAATAAACACAAGTATGACCCTTACGTAATAATCAAAAAAAGAATTTTGTGCTAAAACTGATACACATAAAAACTATACAGTTACCAACCAAAATAACAGATCACTTATTAGACATGACAGAGCCAATATTTTCAATAGCTAATCATGGCTGATGAGACTTTCCAGCTAAAGTGGTTCATGCAGAGAAGGAAATGTTGGCCTGAACGTCTGACTTACTGTCTGAATAGAATATATGTGTGCAACTCAAATACATAATCTTTGACTTCGCGAATATTATGGTCAAAAAGGACTTATTTAATACTGGATCTCTCACTTTATGGATAGTAGAGTGATAAAGGATTTATGTAATACAGGATCTCTCACTTTATGGATAGTAGAGTGATAAAGGATTTATGTAGTACAGGACCTCTCACTTTATGGATAGTAGAGTGATAAAGGATTTATGTAGTACAGGACCTCTCACTTTATGGATAGTAGAGTGATAAAGGATTTATGTAGTACAGGACCTCTCACTTTATGGATAGCAAAGTGATAAAGGATTTATGTAATACAGGACCTCTCACTTTATGGATAGTAGAGTGATAAAGGATTTATGTAGTACAGGACCTCTCACTTTATGGATAGTAGAGTGATAAAGGATATATGTAATACAGGATCTCTCACTTTATGGATAGTAGAGTGATAAAGGATATATGTAATACAGAATCTCTCACTTTATGGATAGTAGAGTGATAAAGGATATATGTAATACAGGATCTCTCACTTTATGGATAGTAGAGTGATAAAGGATATGTGTAATACTGGATCTCTCACTTTATAGATAGTAGAGTGATAAAGGATATGTGTAATACTGGATCTGTCACTTTATAGATAGAGTGATAAAGGATATGTGTAATACTGGATCTCTCACTTTATAGATAGAGTGATAAAGGATATGTGTAATACTGGATCTCTCACTTTATAGATAGTAGAGTGATAAAGGACATATGTAATACAGGATCTCTTACTTTATGGATAGAAGAGTGATTTGTGTGTGTGTATTGTCCATCAAGATGATGATGGCCACTCTGGCGTTGCGCCAGGGAGAAGATCTCCTGCAGTCGCCTTTCTGTCCATCCTTTTATTAATAAGTCTTGCTGTTATGTTTACTTCACATGTAGCCGCGCCCTTGTGTAGAGCTGCACGCCATGCATTTCGGTCTTGAGAGTCAACTTATCTGCATTAGTTTTCTAAGGCAGACTGTGTTAAAGTGGTTTAACTTTCTAGCCTGGCGCTGGTATACAATCCTGTTTCGCATGCGTACAGCAGTGTAGTTTAATACAACTGCTCTGTATACTAGATAAGTAAATTTTTACTGCCAAACAATGCTACATTTAATCTGTGGCCATTCACTGTGATATTGGGCTCGATGTATCTTTGCCCTGGGGCTGGCTGGTGCATGGCTACAGTTTTATCTTTGATGATGGTGAGCCCAAAGTTTAAAGTGATAAAGAAGAGTGATAAAGGACTTATGTAATACAGGATCTTTGACTTTATGGATATTAGAGTGATAAAGGACATTTGCAATACAGGATCTTTGAAATTAAGGATAGTAGAGTGATAAAGGACACAGTGTCAATAAAGGGTGTGAAAAACCAGTCAAGTGGAGCCATTATGTCTGGACTTTCCTACACGCCCAGGTTATTTTCCCTGAGTTGGCTGGTTTAGACGGGCTGATTATGTAACTTGTCTGATACCTCTGGTTTCCTTATGTAGACTGGCTGGTCAAGTTATGTAATCTTAGACAAGGACTAATTTCTTTTGTCTAATCTGAGAACTGGAAACAATTTGTAATCCCATATGGTTTTAGTTCTTGGGACTTAGTGCGTAGTAAATATAATTCTTAGTTTCTTTATTGAACAGAGAGATTATTAAACATACACAATACTAAAATCACTGAGGTGTTTCGTCACAGTGATAAAGGATATACCTAATACTTTATCTTTGACTTTATGGGTAGAAGTAATGACATATGTAGACATATCTTTTTCCTCTTCTTCACATTTACTGGCTGTAAACTCCCGGGGAAAGTTTTGGATGTTTATCCATCTCCAGACTTTAGTCTTGGTCCAGAATCTGGGTGTCGGATGAGCAGCATTTGTTTCCCACATCTGGCTTATTTATGTGCAGACTCTTGGTTCCTTGCATCTCAGGCAGATGTACTCTGACTTCAAAGGAAACCCGCACTTAGTCAACTCTTAGGACACACTTGTTGGACAGGCAGTGGGCCTGTTCCTTTTCCCTACAACTGGGCCTTGGACCCACACGGGGAGTATTACATATTAGAATCCACCCACATTAGATAGCAGCTAGTGTCCTAGCCATAGGGTGTCTTGATAGATATATATATATATATTTAATGACTAAACTCAGTTTCTAGGATTTGTTACTGTTTGATCAGTTGTTGCTGTTAGAGTCACTGAGTGACGCTATTTCACACAGCAATATCAGAGAAGGGGATAGTAAGGCAGGACAATGGGGTGGAGGGGGAGAGGGGGGGTGGGGGGGGGGGGGGGGTTGGCATATATGAACTACACTGCTGGTGATGTTAGAACTGTACAGATGAATGGCACCTACATCTGGAAAACTTCAGATGACAGAAGATGGCAGACTATGGTTCAGACTGTGGCCCAATTTGATATCCAGACTGTGGCCAGAGATGATAGCTACACTGTGGCCAGAGATGATAGCTAGACTGTGGCCTAAGATGATAGATAGACTGTGGTCTAAGATGATAGCTAGACTGTGGCCTAAGATGATAGCTAGACTGTGGCCTAAGATGATAGCTAGACTGTGGCCTAAGATGATAGCTAGACTGTGGTCTAAGATGATAGCTAGACTGTGGTCTAAGATGAAAGCTAGACTGTGGTCTAAGATGATAGCTAGACTGTGGCCTAAGATGATAGCTAGACTGTGGTGTAAGATGATAGCTAGACTGTGGTGTAAGATGATAGCTAGACTGTGGTCTAAGATGATAGCTAGACTGTGGTCTAAGATGAAAGATAGACTGTGGCCTAAGATGAAAGATAGACTGTGGTCTAAGATGATAGCTAGACTGTGGTCTAAGATGATAGCTAGACTATGGCCTAAGATGATAGCTAGACTGTGGTCTAAGATGATAGCTAGACTGTGGTCTAAGATGATAGCTAGACTGTGGTCTAAGATGATAGATAGACTATGGCCTAAGATGAAAGCTAGACTGTGGTCTAAGATGATAGCTAGACTGTGGTCTAAGATGATAGCTAGACTGTGGCCTAAGATGATAGCTAGACTGTGGCCTAAGATGATAGCTAGACTGTGGTCTAAGATGATAGCTAGACTATGGTCTAAGATGATAGCTAGACTATGGCCTAAGATGATAGCTAGACTATGGTCTAAGATGATAGCTAGACTATGGCCTAAGATGATAGCTAGACTATGGCCAGAGATGATAGCTAGTCTGTGGTCTAAGATGATAGCTAGACTGTGGTCTAAGATGATAGCTAGACTGTGGTCTAAGATGAAAGATAGACTGTGGCCTAAGATGAAAGATAGACTGTGGTCTAAGATGAAAGCTAGACTGTGGTCTAAGATGATAGCCAGACTGTGGTCTAATATGATAGCTAGACTGTGGTCTAAGATGATAGCTATACTGTGGTCTAAGATGATAGCTAGACTGTGGTCTAAGATGATAGCTAGACTGTGGTCTAAGATGATAGCTAGACTGTGGTCTAAGATGATAGCTAGATTGTGGTCTAAGATGATAGCTAGACTGTGGTCTAAGATGATAGCTAGACTATGGCCTAAGATGATAGCTAGACTGTGGTCTAAGATGATAGCTAGACTATGGCCTAAGATGATAGCTAGGCTATGGCCTAAGATGATAGCTAGACTGTGGTCTAAGATGATAGCTAGACTGTGGTCTAAGATGATAGCTAGACTGTGGTCTAAGATGATAGCTAGACTGTGGTCTAAGATGATAGCTAGACTGTGGCCTAAGATGAAAGCTAGACTGGCCTAAGATGATAGCTAGACTGTGGCCTAAGATGATAGCTAGACTGTGGTCTAAGATGATAGCTAGACTATGGCTTAAGATGATAGCTAGACTGTGGTCTAAGATGATAGACTGTGGCCTAAGATGATAGCTAGACTGGGGCCTAAGATGATAGCTAGACTGTGGCCTAAGTTAATAGCTAGACTGGGGCCTAAGATGATAGTTAGACTGTGGTCTAAGATGATAGCTAGACTGTGGCCTAAGATGATAGCTAGACTGTGGCCTAAGATGATAGCTAGACTGTGGTCTAAGATGATAGACTGTGGCCTGAGATGATAGCTAGACTGTGGTCTAAGATGATAGCTAGACTGTGGTCTAAGATGATAGACTGTGGCCTGAGATGAAAGCTAGACTATGGCCTAAGATGATAGCTAGACTGTGGCCTAAGATGAAAGCTAGACTATGGCCTAAGATGATAGCTAGACTGTGGCCTAAGATGATAGCTAGACTGTGGTGTAAGATGATAGCTAGACTGTGGTGTAAGATGATAGCTAGACTGTGGCCTAAGATGATAGCTAGACTGTGGCCTAAGATGATAGCTAGACTGTGGCCTAAGATGATAGCTAGACTGTGGTGTAAGATGATAGCTAGACTGTGGCCTAAGATGATAGCTAGACTGTGGTGTAAGATGAAAGCTAGACTGTGGCCTAAGATGATAGCTAGACTGTGGCCTAAGATGATAGCTAGACTGTGGTGTAAGATGAAAGCTAGACTATGGCCTAAGATGATAGCTAGACTATGGCCTAAGATGATAGCTAGACTGTTGTCTAAGATGATAGATAGACTGTGGCCTAAGATGATAGCTAGACTGTGGTCTAAGATGATAGCTAGACTGTGGTCTAAGATGATAGCTAGACTGTGGCCAGAGATTATAGATAGACTGTGGCCTAAGATGATAGCTAGACTGTGGCCTAAGATGATAGCTAGACTGTGGTCTAAGATGATAGCTAGACTGTGGCCTAAGATGATAGCTAGACTGTGGTCTAAGATGATAGCTAGACTGTGGTCTAAGATGATAGCTAGACTGTGGTCTAAGATGATAGCTAGACTGTGGCCAGAGATTATAGATAGACTGTGGCCTAAGATGATAGCTAGACTGTGGCCTAAGATGATAGTTAGACTGTGGTCTAAGATGATAGCTAGACTGTGGCCAGAGATTATAGATAGACTGTGGCCTAAGATGATAGCTAGACTGTGGCCTAAGATGATAGCTAGACTGTGGCCTAAGATGATAGCTAGACTGGGGCCTAAGATGATAGCTAGACTGTGGCCAAAAATGAAAGCTAGACTATTGCCTAAGATGAGAGCTAAACTGTCAGCAATCATAAGCTACTTGCCTCATCATAAACCTGCTCTCTGTCATCTGTGTCTGACATCTCCAGACCATTAATCTGTTAGCTCATTTGTCTTTAGCTTGTACAACTATCACATTTGAGTTATCTCATTTTTACATGATAATTTATGTTGGCCTTACAATTTTAGACTTCCTTTACAATTCTTAAGCTTCCTTTATAATTTCATGTTACTTTTCTAATTGTAGGTATCCAGATGCAGAAGGTGTAAAGTTCGGTATGACCCCGTACCTAGAGAGCATGAGACAGGACTTGGCTCCTTTAAATGTATCTGTGGAAATGAATTTACGTAAGAAATTGCAGTGGCATCATGATTCTCAAACACCTCTGTTTCAAATAATTTGGTTTCTAAATGAACTTTCCACACACAAAAATGTCGCATTTTGTCAACAGAATTTTGGTTCTCAAATGACCTAACTGAGAATTACAACTTCAAGAAAAAAATTCTGGCATGAGATCAATCCCTTCTCTGCAGCTTCTGCTCACAACTTGAGACTTCTGCTCAAATGTCTTTATCTTTTCATATATTCTTTTTCTTTTGTAGTTTTTATATTTAAAAATATTTAAAAAGCGACCATGGGACAGAAAAAAGAAAAAGATAGCTACAATGTGACAAGAAGAGACTACCAGATATGTGAACTTAAGAAAGTTTGTGATGGCGTTCGTTTCTTGGATCTTACTGTGCAGTTTGGTATGGTGACGTGAACAGTTTGGTATGGTGAAGTGAACAGTTTGGTATGGTGAAGTGAACAGTTTGGTATGGTGAAGTGAACAGTTTGGTATGGTGAAGTGAACAGTTTGGTATGGTGAAGTGAACAGTTTGGTATGGTGAAGTGAACAGTTTGGTATGGTGAAGTGAACAGTTTGGTATGGTGAAGTGAACAGTTTGGTATGGTGATGTGAACAGTTTGGTATGGTGATGTGAACAGTTTGGTATGGTGATGTGAACAGTTTGGTATGGTGTTGTGAACACTTTGGTATGGTGATGTGAACAGTTTGGTATGGTGAAGTGAACAGTTTGCTATGGTGATGTGAACAACAGTTTGGTATGGTGAAGTGAACAGTTTGGTATGGTGATGTGAACAGTTTGGTATGGTGATGTGAACAGTTTGGTATGGTGGTGTGAACAGTTTGGTATGGTGATGTGAACAGTTTGGTATGGTAATGTGAACAGTTTGGTATGGTGACATGAACAGTTTGGTATGGTGATGTGAACAGTTTGGTATGGTGATGTGAACAGTTTGGTATGGTGATGTGAGCAGTTTGGTATGGTGATGTGAACAGTTTGGTATGGTGATGTGAACAGTTTGGTATGGTGATGTGAACAGTTTGGTATGGTGATGTGAACAGTTTGGTATGGTGATGTGAACAGTTTGGTATGGTGATGTGAACAGTTTGGTATGGTGATGTGAACAGTTTGGTATGGTGATGTGAACAGTTTGGTATGGCGATGTGAACAGTTTGTTTGATACTGAAAAAATGCAGAGATTATTTTAAGAGACGGTGGCAGCTGACATTGTCGAAGGGTAGAAGTTTATTAAAGACCACAGGAATGAGCTCACACTTGAACTGGAACACAGCCAAAAGGTGCTGGAAAAGTTAGGAACCAAACATCTTTAGAGGCAGCCGATGGAAGGGTGGATATTTCTACTTCTTTGATCACAGCTAATAGGCTGAAGTTAATGGTTTTGTGCAAAGAAATGGCTGTATCAAAGATGTTCTAACAGTGTCATAAATCTTTTTGACAAAAAAATCTGTTTCATTTGTGAAGAACACAGGCAAGAAAGAAATCTTATTAAACAGATTTTGTTATGAGCAGCCTCAAGTTCAAGCAAATGAGTGGTGCCAAGAGAAATAAAAACAAACAAGAGACCAATGACAACCAATTCATCTGATGTTTGAATAGGAAAGGACGACACTGGCAAACAATAGCTGGCTCCTTTCCATTCATCATCAATGTTTACTTGCACCTTCAGCTCTCCTCTACACAAGTACAGATAAATTCAACTAACAGAGTGAGGCTGGTATAGAAACTTCCCACCCAAACCAAATTTTATGAGGGCTGTGTTGTAGAGCTCTCCTTCTCTTATCCTAGGTCAGAAACCCCTGGGGTTCACAAGATTTTTTTTAAACCTCTGTAGAGGGCTATAGTACAATGTCACCTGGTCAAGATTGAAAAGATACAGACTGTTGGGTGTTGGGCCGAGGCTAGTGGTTGCCTCCACAAATTGTAGTAGCTACCTCATTTTCAACAGACCCCAGAGCAGAGGCATTGAAGGGTATTTTTATTCTGCTTAATGACATTCCATTATTGATTGTACCATGTTTTGTCAGTGACTGCTAAGGAACCAAAACTAAAATAAATATATATAATGTTTCTAGGGAGCTGGACAAAACAAATTTGTATAACAAATAAATGTTGATCAGTTTGATTTTTCTTCAGTAGACATAAATATTGCTATAGTCATTCTGTATCAAAACTTTTTGTTACCTACTTAATGCCAGTTTGTCCTCCTGTTTGGGTTGTTTCTGTAGTTATTCTGCCCCAACCCAGTGCTCTCTTTCTATGGCTTTTCTGCGCTGCTGCTTTTACTTCTGTTGGTATGAAATTTGGTTATGTTCATAAACACAGAGTTAAGATTAACTACATTACTTGCAGGACTAGTTAATTCCTCAATGTATTCTGCTTATCTTGGGTATTGGCACCAGGCCATCAGATAGCAAAATGGGAGATAGTAGCGAATATTTCAAAGTGTCATGGCTTGACGGAAGGTAAGAGAAAACTGAAGAGGCTGCTTGTCATAATGCCAGAAAGCCTTGATATGATGCATCTGATTACAGAATATTGTTGTATTTTGGATAAATAAAAATAATAAATAAAACTGTAAACATAATAAAATTCTAGGGAGTTCTAGAAGCACTATAGCTAGCATGCTTGTCTAGTATCTTGCCTTTGAATCTTCTTTGCATGAGGTAGTTTTTTTTTTTTATTTGTTTTTTTTTTTACCTGTACAGTCAAATCAACAACAAAAATATATGCCAGGAGATTTTATAGGAAGTTAAATATTTTGTAGAATATTGATTACCTTACCCACCTTTTGTAGATTTATATATGCAACCTTCTTAATTGTGTCAAAATAGAGTTAGTGTGTAAGATGGTAAAAGTTGGGCTAAATTGTATGCTTAATTTGTTATTGTTGCCAGGGGTTATGCCTGTATGGGAGAAACACTCAGTGAATGCTACGAATGTGGCGCCCAAGTTCCGGTTGATCACATGGTACCACCACGCAGAAACCGCCAACGAAGGACTAAACAACCACATTCATGCAATGGTGTCAATTGTTTCAAGTGAGTAGATTTATGCAAAAGTATAATTTCCTTGGAAGATTAATATTCTATGCAATCACTCTTTGTCCATCAAGGTGAGAGTGTTCTTAAGAGCTGAATATAGTTAATCATGATCTGTGGAAAAAAACTCTTGATCAGCCAATATAGGGAACAATTATGTGTCAACTGCAGATTATGTGGTTTTCAAGAAAACTGTTGAAAATACTAGGAGATAAAAAGTGTTATTAAGATGTCTAAATCCCAGATACACTGTTAGAATTCAGTCCATTCTTCGAGCATATCATTAAAAAGAAGGAAAAACGAGTTAGTCTAAGAGAAAAGTTGGAGGGAATAAAGGCAGAGGATCACCTAGACACATGCAAGTTGGATAGTCTGATATCATGCTTGGAACAATATCTGTATCATTAATATTTGATATGCTTTCATGGAACAATATCTGTATTAGAACTATTTGATAGCATGGCAGGGAACAATATCTGTATCAGAACTATTTGATATCCTGTCATGGAACAATATCTGTATCAGAACTATTTGATATCCTGCCATGGAACAATATCTGTATCAGAACTATTTGATATCCTGTCATGGAACAATATTTGTATCAGAACTATATGATATCCTGTCATGGAACAATATCTGTATCAGAACTATTTGATATCCTGACATGGAACAGTATCTGTATCAGAAACATTTGACAGCACTTGAGATATCAAGCAATGTATTGATCGTGCATATATGCTTTATTTTTTATCAGATAATATTCAAAACAATCTGGCTTGATATGTTAGTATGCAATAAGTAAATGCTGCCACTTTCAAAATCATACACGGATGCTTTTGTCCAATGTGATTAACTCTTTGAGTCCCAGGGGGTTTAGCATCACAGGCCCAAGGGGTGGTCAAGAAAGACGTAAAATCGGCGCATCTTGAGTTCATTGGGCTTCTAGGTAGGACTCTATGAACGTATGACGCGTTCCTTGGGACTTAAAGAGTTAATGTTCCTTCCTGGCTGTGTACTGCAGAATCTTATGGGACACGAAGACTGAATTAAACTGATGCAAATTGTCAGAGAGATAAGAAGCAGGCTAATCCAAGCAAAGCCAATCAGTTGAGCAGCATAGGAACATTCAACATTACTCTGTTCTTGTCCTTGGAAGACGCAAACCTAGTTTTAGGATGTTACACACTGCATACACTACTGTATGTAATTTATCATGAACACTTTAATAACAAGATTAGAAACTGAAGGCCTGAGATGTGTGGTATCTCCACTAGAAACTAAGCATCCCTGAGATAACTAACAAGATTAGAAGCTGAAGGCCAGAGATGTATGGTGTCTCCACTAGAAACTAAGCATCTCTGAGATAACTAACAAGATTAGAAACTGAAGGCCTGAGATGTGTGGTGTCCCCACTAGAAACTAAGCGTCCCATGGATAACTAACAAGATTAGAAACTGAAGGCCAGAGATGTGTGGTGTCTCCACTAGAAACTAAGCGTCCCATGGATAACTAACAAGATTAGAAACTGAAGGCCAGAGATGTGTGGTGTCCCCACTAGAAACTAAGTGTCCCATGGATAACTAACAAGATTAGAAACTGAAGGCCAGAGATGTGTGGTGTCTCCACTAGAAACTAAGCATCCCTGAGATAACTAACAAGATTAGAAACTGAAGGCCTGAGATGTGTGGTGTCTCCACTAGAAACTAAGCATCTCTGAGATAACTAACAAGATTAGAAACTGAAGGCCAGAGATGTATGGTGTCTCCACTAGAAACTAAGCGTCCCATGGATAACTAACAAGATTAGAAACTGAAGGCCAGAGATGTGTGATGTCTCCACTAGAAACTAAGCATCCCTGAGATAACTAACAAGATTAGAAACTGAAGGCCAGAGATGTGTGGTGTCTCCACTAGAAACTAAGCATTCCGTGAGATAACTAACAAGATTAGAATCTGAAGGCCTGAGATGTGTGGTGTCTCCACTAGAAACTAAGCATCCCTGAGATAACTAACAAGATTAGAAACTGAAGGCCAGAGATGTGTGGTGTCCCCACTAGAAACTAAGCGTCCCAGGGATAACTAACAAGATTAGAAACTGAAGGCCAGAGATGTATGGTGTCTCCACTAGAAACTAAGCATCTCTGACATAACTAACAAGATTAGAAACTGAAGGCCAGAGATGTGTGGTGTCTCCACTAGAAACTAAGCATCCCTGAGATAACTAACAAGATTAGAATCTGAAGGCCAGAGATGTGTGGTGTCTCCACTAGAAACTAAGCATCTCTGACATAACTAACAAGATTAGAAACTGAAGGCCAGAGATGTGTGGTGTCTCCACTAGAAACTAAGCATCCCTGAGATAACTAACAAGATTAGAATCTGAAGGCCAGAGATGTGTGGTGTCTCCACTAGAAACTAAGCGTCCCAGGGATAACTAACAAGATTAGAAACTGAAGGCCTGAGATGTGTGGTGTCTCCACTAGAAACTAAGCATCTCTGAGATAACTAACAAGATTAGAAACTGAAGGCCAGAGATGTGTGGTGTCTCCACTAGAAACTAAGCATCCCTGAGATAACTAACAAGATTAGAATCTGAAGGCCAGAGATGTGTGGTGTCTCCACTAGAAACTAAGCATCTCTGACATAACTAACAAGATTAGAAACTGAAGGCCAGAGATGTGTGGTGTCTCCACTAGAAACTAAGCATCTCTGACATAACTAACAAGATTAGAAACTGAAGGCCAGAGATGTGTGGTGTCTCCACTAGAAACTAAGCATTCCCTGAGATAACTAACAAGATTAGAAACTGAAGGCCAGAGATGTGTGGTGTCTCCACTAGAAACTAAGCATCTCTGAGATAACTAACAAGATTAGAAACTGAAGGCCAGAGATGTGTGGTGTCTCCACTAGAAACTAAGCGTCCCAGGGATAACTAACAAGATTAGAAACTGAAGGCCTGAGATGTGTGGTGTCTCCACTAGAAACTAAGCATCCCTGAGATAACTAACAAGATTAGAAACTGAAGGCCAGAGATGTGTGGTGTCTCCACTAGAAACTAAGCATCCCTGAGATAACTAACAAGATTAGAATCTGAAGGCCAGAGATGTGTGGTGTCTCCACTAGAAACTAAGCATCTCTGAGATAACTAACAAGATTAGAAACTGAAGGCCAGAGATGTGTGGTGTCTCCACTAGAAACTGAAGGCCAGAGACTAGAAACTAAGCAAGGATAACTAACAGTGAAGGCCAGAGTGTCTCCACTAGAAACTAAGCAGGCCAGAGATGTAACAAGATTAGAAACTGAAGGCCAGAGATGTGTGGTGTCTCCACTAGAAACTAAATCCCTGAGATACTAACAAGATTAGAAACTGAAGGCCAGAGATGTGTGGTGTGTCTCCACTAGAAACTAAGGCATCTCTGAGTTCTCCACTAGAAACTGAAGGCCAGAGATGTGTGGTGTCTCCACTAGAAACTAAGCATCTCTGAGATAACTAACAAGATTAGAAACTGAAGGCCAGAGATGTGTGGTGTCTCCACTAGAAACTAAGCATCCCTGAGATAACTAACAAGATTAGAAACTGAAGGCCAGAGATGTGTGGTGTCTCCACTAGAAACTAAGCATCCCTGAGATAACTAACAAGATTAGAAACTGAAGGCCAGAGATGTGTGGTGTCTCCACTAGAAACTAAGCATCCCTGAGATAACTAACAAGATTAGAATCTGAAGGCCAGAGATGTGTGGTGTCTCCACTAGAAACTAAGCATTCCTGAGATAACTAACAAGATTAGAAACTGAAGGCCTGAGATGTGTGGTGTCTCCACTAGAAACTAAGCGTCCCATGGATAACTAACAAGATTAGAAACTGAAGGCCAGAGATGTGTGGTGTCTCCACTAGAAACTAAGCATCTCTGAGATAACTAACAAGATTAGAAACTGAAGGCCTGAGATGTGTGGTGTCTCCACTAGAAACTAAGCATCCCTGAGATAACTAACAAGATTAGAAACTGAAGGCCAGAGATGTGTGGTGTCTCCACTAGAAACTAAGCATCCCTGAGATAACTAACAAGATTAGAAACTGAAGGCCAGAGATGTGTGGTGTCTCCACTAGAAACTAAGCATCCCTGAGATAACTAACAAGATTAGAATCTGAAGGCCAGAGATGTGTCTCCACTAGGTAAGCATTCCCTGAGATAACTAACCACTAGAGGCCTGAATGTGTGGTGTCTACACTAGAAACTAAGCGTCCCATGGATAACTAACAAGATTAGAAACTGAAGGCCGGAGATGTATGGTGTCTCCACTAGAAACTAAGCATCTCTGAGATAACTAACAAGATTAGAAACTGAAGGCCAGAGATGTGTGGTGTCTCCACTAGAAACTAAGCGTCCCAGGGATAACTAACAAGATTAGAATCTGAAGGAGAGATGTGTGGTGTCTCCACTAGAAACTAAGCATAGATAACTAACAAGATTGAACTGAAGCCTGAGATGTATGGTGTCTCCACTAGAAACTAAGCATCTCTGAGATAACTAACAAGATTAGAATCTGAAGGCCAGAGATGTATGGTGTCTCCACTAGAAACTAAGCATCTCTGAGATAACTAACAAGATTAGAATCTGAAGGCCAGAGATGTATGGTGTCTCCACTAGAAACTAAGCATCTCTGAGATAACTAACAAGATTAGAAACTGAAGGCCTGAGATGTGTGGTGTCTCCACTAGAAACTAAGCATCCCTGAGATAACTAACAAGATTAGAAGCATAGAAACTCCCTGAGATAACTAACAAGATTAGAAACTGAAGGCCTGAGATGTGTGGTGTCTCCACTAGAAACTAAGCATCCCTGAGATAACTAACAAGATTAGAAGCTGAAGGCCAGAGATGTGTGGTGTCTCCACTAGAAACTAAGCATTCCCTGAGATAACTAACAAGATTAGAAACTGAAGGCCTGAGATGTGTGGTGTCTCCACTAGAAACTAAGCATCCCTGAGATAACTAACAAGATTAGAAACTGAAGGCCAGAGATGTGTGGTGTCTCCACTAGAAACTAAGCATCCCTGAGATAACTAACAAGATTAGAAACTGAAGGCCTGAGATGTGTGGTGTCTCCACTAGAAACTAAGCATTCCCTGAGATAACTAACAAGATTAGAAACTGAAGGCCTGAGATGTGTGGTGTCTCCACTAGAAACTAAGCATCCCTGAGATAACTAACAAGATTAGAATCTGAAGGCCAGAGATGTGTGGTGTCTCCACTAGAAACTAAGCATCTCTGAGATAACTAACAAGATTAGAAACTGAAGGCCAGAGATGTGTGGTGTCTCCACTAGAAACTGAAGGCCAGAGATGTGTGGTGTCTCCACTAGAAACTGAAGGCCAGAGATGTGTGGTGTCTCCACTAGAAACTAAGCATCTCTGAGATAACTAACAAGATTAGAAACTGAAGGCCAGAGATGTGTGGTGTCTCCACTAGAAACTAAGCATCCCTGAGATAACTAACAAGATTAGAAACTGAAGGCCAGAGATGTGTGGTGTCTCCACTAGAAACTAAGCGTCTCTGAGATAGCTAACAAGATTAGAAACTGAAGGCCTGAGATGTGTGGTGTCCCCACTAGAAACTAAGCATCCCTGAGATAACTAACAAGATTAGAATCTGAAGGCCAGAGATGTGTGGTGTCCCCACTAGAAACTAAGCATCCCTGAGATAACTAACAAGATTAGAATCTGAAGGCCAGAGATGTGTGGTGTCCCCACTAGAAACTAAGCGTCCCATGGATAACTAACAAGATTAGAAACTGAAGGCCTGAGATGTGTGGTGTCTCCACTAGAAACTAAGCGTCCCATGGATAACTAACAAGATTAGAAACTGAAGGCCAGAGATGTGTGGTGTCTCCACTAGAAACTAAGCGTCCCATGGATAACTAACAAGATTAGAAACTGAAGGCCAGAGATGTATGGTGTCTCCACTAGAAACTAAGCGTCCCATGGATAACTAACAAGATGACCATGTAAGAGATCAAGGGAGAAAATATGACATGTGCTGTCTGTGGGAGAAAATATGACATGTGCTGTCTGTGGGAGAAAATATGACATGTGCTGTCTGTGCAGGGAGAAAATATGACATGTGCTGTCTGTGGGAGAAAATATGACATGTGCTGTCTGTGGGAGAAAATATGACATGTGCTGTCTGTGCAGGGAGAAAATATGACATGTGCTGTCTGTGGGAGAAAATATGACATGTGCTGTCTGTGCAGGGAGAAAATATGACATGTGCTGTCTGTGCAGGGAGAAAATATGACATGTGCTGTCTGTGGGAGAAAATATGACATGTGCTGTCTGTGCAGGGAGAAAATATGACATGTGCTGTCTGTGGGAGAAAATATGACATGTGCTGTCTGTGCAGGGAGAAAATATGACATGTGCTGTCTGTGCAGGGAGAAAATATGACATGTGCTGTCTGTGGGAGAAAATATGACATGTGCTGTCTGTGGGAGAAAATATGACATGTGCTGTCTGTGGGAGAAAATATGACATGTGCTGTCTGTGCAGGGAGAAAATATGACATGTGCTGTCTGTGGGAGAAAATATGACATGTGCTGTCTGTGCAGGGAGAAAATATGACATGTGCTGTCTGTGCAGGGAGAAAATATGACATGTGCTGTCTGTGGGAGAAAATATGACATGTGCTGTCTGTGCAGGGAGAAAATATGACATGTGCTGTCTGTGGGAGAAAATATGACATGTGCTGTCTGTGGGAGAAAATATGACATGTGCTGTCTGTGCAGGGAGAAAATATGACATGTGCTGTCTGTGCAGGGAGAAAATATGACATGTGCTGTCTGTGCAGGGAGAAAATATGACATGTGCTGTCTGTGGGAGAAAATATGACATGTGCTGTCTGTGCAGGGAGAAAATATGACATGTGCTGTCTGTGCAGGGAGAAAATATGACATGTGCTGTCTGTGGGAGAAAATATGACATGTGCTGTCTGTGGGAGAAAATATGACATGTGCTGTCTGTGCAGGGAGAAAATATGACATGTGCTGTCTGTGCAGGGAGAAAATATGACATGTGCTGTCTGTGCAGGGAGAAATCAGTTGGCACACTTGGTCAACAATAAAGGACAGATGATCACCCAACTCCATTGTCATGGCACGTGATGGTTATAATTTGTATTAATTTCCTGTGGATGCAGTTACACAGTAGAGGAATGTTGGTTATATCAATAAAGTGACAACAAGTATTCTGTTTCAACAGCTCTAGCCACAATCATGGTCAGAACTTCACCGGTTTAGCCCAGTTTGGATCACACGCAGGAGCAGATTTAGACCGATACTCAACTTCATCAGACATACCGGTACAGTCATTAGATTTTCTCAAAGTTAACTCTTTGTACTACAGTTAGTTACATCAACTTCACTGTCCCAACTCCTGTCTCAGTAAGTTACAATAACTTCCCTGTCCCAACTCCTGTCCCAGTCAGTTACATTACCTTCCCTGTCCCTACTCCTGTCTCAGTTAGTTACATTAACTTCCTCTCATAACTCTTGTCCCAGTCAGTTACATTAACTTCCCTGTCCAACTCTTGTCCCAGCCAGTTACATTAACTTCCCTGTCTTAACTACTGTCGCAGCCAGTTACATTAACTTCCCTGACCCAACTCTTGTCCCAGCCAGTTGCATTAACTTCCCTGTCTTAACTACTGTCCCAGTCAGTTACATTAACTTCCCTGTTCAACTCTTGTCCCAGCCAGTTAAATTAACTTTCCTGTCCCAACTCTTGTCCCAGCCAGTTACATTAACTTCCCTGTCCCAACTCTTATCCCAGTCAGTTACATTAACTTCCCTGTCCAACTCTTGTCCCAGCCAGTTTTATTAACTTTCCTGTCCCAACTCTTGTCCCAGCCAGTTACATTAACTTCCCTGTCCAACTCTTGTCCCAGCCAGTTACATTAACTTCCCTGTCTTAACTACTGTCGCAGCCAGTTACATTAACTTCCCTGTCCCAACTCTTGTCCCAGCCAGTTACATTAACTTCCCTGTCTTAACTACTGTCCCAGTCAGTTACATTAACTTCCCTGTTCAACTCTTGTCCCAGCCAGTTACATTAACTTTCCTGTCCCAACTCTTGTCCCAGCCAGTTACATTGACCAACTTCAGTGTCAGTCAAATGAACGAACAAATTTTATTTTTATGTTACAAATTAGGCAGGCACGTCTGTCTTACATTGGGCTCTTCCCAACAACCCCCTTTCACACAGCTATCATATATTAATATTAAAGCATGTTGTGATATGTCAGTCAGTAAGGTTGACCCACCCTATCAGGGCTTCTCTTGTCCCATCTACCACAAATAATTACAGTTTAAAGTATTGTTTTTTTCTTTCTGAGCTACACAGTTTGGTTTTTGTAAAGGATCACTTAAATTACACTTAAACATATTCATACATAGTTCAGAGTGCACAAGCTTCACTGAGGGTCTGAGGTTATATCAAAATAACAAGCCATAAATATTCTTTCAGGGGTGAGTTTTCAAATTTACACATAACCCTGAACAGCACTCTATTTGATCAATTGTTTTCCATGTCCAACTGCTAACTTATTTTTAAATCATGCACTTCCTTCAAGCTTTTTGCTTTTATTTTAGACTGTTTTGCCTGGGAGATGTGAAATCACCATTTGTATTGCATTGCCTGGTTTTTCTAAGAAGCATGACATAGACATTAGATAGTTTACCTGGTATACTCATTTGAAAGCATATGTAGAGGATCACACCGTCATATCAATGCCATTTATGGTCCTATAAAACAAAGCCCAAATGGCACTTGAGAGGTCATGTGATCAGTATCATTTCACTCTAGTGGCCTTGTGTATCAGCAAGTTTTCTAGCAACCTTTTTATGAGTTACAACACATTTCACTCTAGTGGACTTGTGTATCAGCAAGTTTTTTAGCAACCCTTTTATGAGTTACAACACATGTCACCCTAGTGGACTTGTGTATCAGCAAGTTTTTTAGCAACCCTTTTATGAGTTACAACACATGTCACCCTAGTGGACTTGTGTATCAGCAAGTTTTTTAGCAACCCTTTTATGAGTTACAACACATGTCACCCTAGTGGACTTGTGTATCAGCAAGTTTTTTAGCAACCCTTTTATGAGTTACAACACATGTCACCCTAGTGGACTTGTGTATCAGCAAGTTTTTTAGCAACCCTTTTATGAGTTACAACACATGTCACCCTAGTGGACTTGTGTATCAGCAAGTTTTTTAGCAACCCTTTTATGAGTTACAACACATGTCACCCTAGTGGACTTGTGTATCAACAAGTTTTTTAGCAACCCTTTTATGAGTTACAACACATGTCACCCTAGTGGCCTTGTGTATCAGCAAGTTTTTTAGCAACCCTTTTATGAGTTACAACACATGTCACCCTAGTGGCCTTGCATATAAACAGGTTTTCTAGCAACCCTTTTATGAGTTACAACACATGTCACCCTCAGGGATATCTCAGTCTAGGAATTTCAGGCCACAAGCAAGTGCAACAGTCTCAGGTCAGTTTAAATTCCATATTCCCAGCCACTTTTTTTTTCAAACATAAGTTTTTTTTAAAGAAATGACAGGTTGAGAAACTGAATCCTGGGTATTCTTTTTCTTCTTCTTCTCAAAGACCATATCATTTGGTGTTGGTGGTCATGTTGTCCACAGCCTTCTGTCTCGTGTACTTTCAGTAAACTCTGACACAGATGATCTTCCATGGCATGATTTTAAACTGTCCGGTATCTATTATCTTGGTCTCCCTCTGCCTCTCCTCCCTTCCAACTTTTCTACTGTCACGATGTATTCCAGTTTTCTCCTTCTCATCACATGACCAAAGAATGTAGATTGTCTCTTTCTGATGTGGGCAAACACTTCTCTTTGTGAGTCAGTTTCTTTCAAGACGTCTTCATTACTCTTTTTATCTGTCCAGGGTATTCTCATCATTCGTCTATAAAACCAAATCCCTGCAGCTTCCAAATAATTGTTCACTAATTTACTAACTGTCCATGATTCACATCCGTATATAGTAAAGGATTTAAATATTTCCCGTCTCCAGCCTAGGTATTAATCGACACATTTTCCAGGCTGCAACTCATGGAAAGTTCAGATCTAAACCATTTGTTTGTAGACTAGATGGATGAAGTACTTCCTGTTGGTTATTTTACAGATTTAAAAATTCTTTCATTCAACAAACACTCTAATCTGCTTTAGTTGACAATCAGTGTCACAGATGGCTTTCATAAGAATTTAATTGTTGAGTTTCAGTTGTTGAAAATAAATTAAAATGAAACTTGTTTCCAATAGATTATGATAGGAAGTGAACCTAGTGTACTAGGGGGCAGACCAAGGATACCAAGGATACAAAATAACACACATGTTCAAGGCAACTTTGAGCCAGCTGGTATGTATATATTTTTTCAGTGTTTCAGCAAAATGTTAAAAACAACAAAATACATATCTGATGCACTTTTCACCTCTGCCAGTGCTCCAGTCTCCTTCCATAGATCACACATGGATACCTCCACCAGTGCCCCAGTCTCCTCCCATAGATCACACATAGATACCTCCACCAGTGCTCCAGTCTCCTTCTATAGATCACACATAGATACCTTCAACAGTGCTCCAGTCTCCTTCCATAGATCACACATGGATACCTCCACCAGTACTCCAGTCTCCTTCCATAGATCACACATGGATACCTCCACCAGTGCTCCAGTCTCCTCCCATAGATCACACATAGATATCTCCACCAGTACTCCAGTCTCCTTCCATAGATCACACATGGATACCTCCACCAGTGCTCCAGTCTCCTCCCATAGATCACACATAGATACCTCCACCAGTGCTCCAGTCTCCACCCACTGATCACATATGGATACCTCCACGTGCTCCAGTCTCCACCCACTGATCACATATGGATACCTCCACCAGTGCTCTAGTCTCCTCCCATAGACCACATATAGATACCTCCACTAGTGCTCCAGTCTCCACCCATAGACCACACATGGAAACTTCCACCAGTGCTCCAGTCTTCTTCCATAGATCACACATGGATACCTCCACCAGTGCTCCAGTCTCCTCCCATAGATCACATGTGGATACCAAAACCAGTGCTCCAGTCTTAACCCACATGTTGTTAGACAGTTGACAGTAGAAGCTTACTGCAGAAGCCACCTGTTGTTTTAGACAGTTGACAGTAGATGCTTACTGCAGAAGTCACATGTTGTTAGACAGTTGACAGTAGAAGCTCACTACAGAAGTCACATGTTGTTAGACAGTTGACAGAAGAAGCTTACTACAGAAGTCACATGTTGTTAGACTGTTGAAATTAGAAGCTTACTGCAGAAGTCACATGTTGTTTGACAGTTGACAGTACAAGGTTACTGCAGAAGTCACATGTTGTTTGACAGTTGACAGTAGAAGCTTACTACAGAAGTCACATGTTGTTAGACAGTTGATAGTAGAAGCTTACTGCAGAAGTCACATGATGTTAGACAGTTTACAGTAGAAGCTTACTACAGAAGTCACATGTTGTTAGACAGTTTACAGTAGATGCTTACTTCAGAAGTCACATGTTGTTAGACAGTTAACAGTAGAAGCTTACTACAGAAGTCATATGTTGTTAGACAGTTGATAGTAGAAGCTTACTACAGAAGTCACATGTTGTTAGACAGTTGATAGTAGAAGTTTACTGCAGAAGTCACATGTTGTTTGACAGTTGACAGAAGAAGCTTACTACAGAAGTCACATGTTGTTAGACAGTTTACAGTAGAAGCTTACTACAGAAGTCACATGTTGTTTGACAGTTGACAGTAGAAGCTTACTGCAGAAGTCACATGTTGTTAGACAGTTGACAGTAGAAGCTTACTACAGAAGTCACATGTTGTTAGACAGTTTACTGTAGAAGCTTACTACAGAAGTCACATGTTGTTAGACAGTTGACAGTAGATGCTTACTTCAGAAGTCACGTGTTGTTTGACAGTTTACAGTAGATGCTTACTTCAGAAGTCACATGTTGTTAGACAGTTGACAGTAGAAGCTTACTACAGAAGTCAACTGTTGTTTGACAGTTGATAGTAGAAGCTTACTACAGAAGTCACATGTTGTTAGACAGTTGATAGTAGAAGCTTACTGCAGAAGTCACATGTTGTTTGACAGTTGACAGAAGAAGCTTACTACAGAAGTCACCTGTTGTTTGACAGTTGACAGTAGAAGCTTACTGCAGAAGTTACCTGTTGTTGGTCGACAGAAGAAGCCTGTTGTAGAGGTCACTGGTGTGTGACCTTCACTATAAAAATGCATTGCAATATTGATTGTAAATCTAGACTGTTTAACATTTGTAGGACACACTGTCTGAGATTATGGTTTTACCAAGTAGCTGAAATGCGAGGTAATAAGCAGACTGATATATTATCTGCAGCGTCTCCTCTGGGCGGTGAGTTACAAAATGATAAAGCAGATGTGGTGAGAGCTCTATAGGATCAAATGGACAGTGCAAAAGAATAAATGGGGAATCCATAAACTGAGAGAATAATTAAACAGGGGATGTGTAGAGATTCTGGAAGATATTCAATATTGAAGGGGAAACAAAGGCGGACTTTTAATCAGGTTGCAGTTGGTACTAATAGCATTTTAACTCTTCATTGGTTACTGGAGAAGGGGATGAAGCGTATGTGGCAATGTCCCGGATGTAGTGATGTAGTTGTAGTTCATTCATTCATTCATTCATTCTCATAAATCTTTTAAAGTGAATTAAAACAATTGTTGTTATTCAAGACTGCAATAACTGTATTCGTTGACTGGTTGTCTGTATTGGTGAGGACTTGACTGCATCAGAGTAGTAGGGCAGGCAGAGTTGTTTCTCCTGACCCATACAACAGCGCCATCTCCTTGAGCAATGTGGCTGAGTGCTGACCCCTTCTGTCTCCAAGCCCATAAAACAGTCTGGTGTAAAACAAGTACTGTATCTTCATAAGGAATACTATTGAAGTTTCAATGGTTTTTTCTTTCTTAATGAATGTTTTATTTCTTGATTTTCTGATCTCTCTAAAACCTTCATGTTGTCTGTTGTTCACGCACATTTTAACAAATATATTCTCTAGTTTCCTTAGGTGACCAAACGATTTAGTTCTCGTTACTGTGTGTTACAAGTTCATCCAATTTTCTACTTATTTCCTAATTGCTCATTTAGCCAGTTCGTATCCGAGTAACTTATTTTCTCACCTCATTGTTTTTTTAAAAATTATGTCTCATTGTCTTAATTTTTGGTGAGAATGTTCTTGAACTTCTCATGTTATTGTATTTTATTCCAATAGATCCTGGGCCAGTTTGTGTGCACCCCAAGTCACAAAAAAAGCCAATCAAATATGTTAGCAAAAAACATAGAAGTACAGGCTCAACTGTGTCAACATTCCTGTCACAGAACAGCATTGAGACACAGTCCATTAGCGTGGTGTCTGAATTGTATTCAATAGATGAATAATCTGTAATGGAATTTGGAAACCAGGAATTTAGAAAAGTTCCTGGACATTATAGCAGCATTATTACGTATGAATGGCTCTCATACAGAGTTTAGAACCTTGTAGAAAATAAAAAGATATGTTAGGCAATATACTTAATCCAACCAATACTGAGGCCCTGAACCTAACTGCCCCCTATACCTCAGCTCCTGGGCATCAACACACAAAAACCAACATGATATACAAAAATGTAAGTAACATGCAAACAAGTGGTTAGAATCAGATGAAACATTGTAGACATTGTAGAAAATAGGTTTACTTTCCATCTAGCGCGAATATTCCACCTTTGTGTGCCAATCCACCCAGCAGGATCTACCTTGTTTCACAAAGTGAGCACCAGATGTTGCTGTTTGAGGGACACGCCCCATTCTCTTACTATCGATCTAGTTTTAAATCTATAATTTTCCAGATTTGCCTCATCACTCGAGCTCTCACTGACTGTGTCACTTCAACTGCGAACATAGTCTTCATGAAATTCTGACTCGAGTCTGAATCAGCCCCTGTATCGATTACCTGTTGGACTTTTAAAAGACTTTCCAGTTTTTATACTTTTAAAAGTCTTTCCTGTCGAAGTGCCTGGTTCAGCAGCCGCTCGTTTCATTGTGAATTTTCAGGATTTTTTCACGGTAAACCACACAAAGTAAATCCAAAAACACGTAGGCAGCAATTCGCAATCGCTAACCACGAGGTTTGATCACGATTGGTTGGTTATTTTAAGTTTGTGATACATTTTAACACATAGTACCCAAAGTACTGACAATGAGGTACAGCGGTTTAGGGGCAAATTAGGAAATTACTTTAGAAACGGTACATCAGTCTGGTAGAGTTAAACCTATAGCCCCAAGAGAGCCTATTTTCTGACTTTTACGGGTTTTTGATGACGTGACAGTTTTTGGGCATTGGCATCTATGTCTATATAACAGACTTGGAACTGGTTGCCACTGTGTAGACAAGGTAGTATTTTTTATATATTTACCAAAAACTATTTTAAGATATAATTAGGGTTTTATTTTTAAAAAATCACGTTTGTGTGTGTGTGTGCCATTTGAAAAGTTATCAGGATGTTATAATGATGCCACTTTGCTCCAATTGCTGTGCATGCACAAAAAAATATTTTTCTATGATCAGATGAAAGGAAAACTTGTTTTTCTACATTTGCATTTATCAACTACTCTCCTTAGTAGAAAGTTGAAAAACTAAAAAAAAAACAAATTTGTAAATTGCTGGTGTCTGTTACTTAAACTCCAAATTTCTTCTGTTTCTTCTTCTATTCCTCTAGTTTCTCAAGGTAGTTTCAGAGAATTTTGGCAATGCATTTCATTTTTTATAATATTTGAAGAACACAAAAAAACAAAAACAAAAAAAAGCAAAAAATTAAAAAAAAATTTTCTTGTAGTTTGTTACATGGCAAAAGGGTTACGGATTTGTTTCTATTTGGGATACAGTACAGAACAAGCATCACTTCAGAGGTCCGCAGTTGTTAGCATCTTTTAGATAGTTTTTCTGGCTATGCAGGTGTTTTGGGAAGTTCAAAGACAGGCAAGATGGCAGATGCAACACCACTGGTTGGTGACTGAATGCCTGAGGATCTAGTTGTGGTCAAGGTCCCCAGGGTGCAGGTGAACAATGTGTATGTGGGAATAGATCATTACCTTGTGGAGAAAATGGTGCAGCCAGGAATGACCATAGCATATGGCCTACACTGGACAAACAGAAGACAAGTAAGACAAATGGGTAATATAATGCTATGGTACCATCAGCATTGGAAGTTTGCCGGCTGCTGAAGATGGGAATAAAGCACTTATGGGAATGTCTCAAGTGATGTGAGGTCAATTCTAAATTTAGATGAACTGTTGTATATTCATACCATCTTAAAGTTAGTTTGCTGTATTTCTACTAATAAAAAGTTACCAACATTTATTCTTGTTTTTTTTTTTTTTTTAAATTGGCTACCATTATACCACAATCACTTTTTTTTAAAATCTAGAATGGCATGTTATCCTTTTTTTTTTTTTTATATAACTTACTACCATTTTGTTGTTGTTGCTTTTCCCGAGGTGGTGGCTGTAGTATATTTTAAACAATATGCTTATTACAATTTTTTTTAATACACTTAATATATATTCCACTTAAAATGATATACTGCTACAGTCTGTTATTATTAATAGGTAATCTGTGCAAGCTAAAATAATCAAAAGTAAATGAGCGACATAAGAGTCCAACATTAAAATAGAAAATAAAACTATAATTTCCAGTTATAAGCCAGATAAATTGAGCAGGATATTGCTGTATGTATTGCTGCCTTTACTGTCTTGTCTACATTTTGGTTAATTCTATTTTTTATATTTCTTTGGGGGGAAGGGGCTTTGCTGTGCTGTGTCTCTTCTGGTTCTTGCTGCGTTTGGTTTGGTTTGTCATGGATCATTATTATTACTCTTAACTTGAATGATATAGACCAAGTTGGTATCACATTGTTTTGGTTAGAGTCTCTAGTACAGCCCAACACTGTCCATGTCTCAGTATTTTGCTTATGCTCCAGTTCACATTGTTGCTGATAGTTTGAATACACCTGGTCTGTACTTGTTGATGGACACGACCAGATGATGGTGTAGGAAGAATCAATCCTTTACAGAACATTGCTCTCTTCACAGAAAGCTCAAAAGTCTTTCTTTCTCTAACCAAGTCTCCAGCCATGTGTGCTTTGATGACCAATACACTCATTGTCCGTCTGCACAGAGGTTGGTCTGTGCCTTGTCCGTCTGCACAGAGGTTGGTCTGTGCCTTGTCCGTCTGCACAGAGGTTGGTCTGTGGCTGTCTGCACAGAGGTTGGTCTGTGGCTTGTCCGTCTGCACAGAGGTTGGTCTATGGCTTGTCCATCTGCACAGAGGTTGGTCTGTGGCTTGTCCGTCTGCACAGAGGTTGGTCTGTGGCTTGTCCGTCTGCACAGAGGTTGGTCTGTGGCTTGTCCGTCTGCACAGAGGTTGGTCTGTGGCTTGTCCGTCTGCACAGAGGTTGGTCTGTGCCTTGTCCGTCTGCACAGAGGTTGGTCTGTGGCTTGTCCGTCTGCACAGAGGTTGATCTGTGCCTTGTCCGTCTGCACAGAGGTTGGTCTGTGGCTTGTCCGTCTGCACAGAGGTTGGTCTGTGCCTTGTCCGTCTGCACAGAGGTTGGTCTGTGCCTTGTCCGTCTGCACAGAGGTTGGTCTGTGCCTTGTCCGTCTGCACAGAGGTTGGTCTGTGCCTTGTCCGTCTGCACAGAGGTTGGTCTGTGCCTTGTCCGTCTGCACAGAGGTTGGTCTGTGCCTTGTCCGTCTGCACAGAGATTGGTCTGTGGCTTGTCCATCTGCACAGAGGTTGGTCTGTGCCTTGTCCGTCTGCACAGAGGTTGGTCTGTGGTTTGTCCATTTGCACAGAGGTTGGTCTGTGCCTTGTCCGTCTGCACAGAGGTTGGTCTGTGGCTTGTCTGTCTGCACAGAGGTTGGTCTGTGGCTTGTCCATCTGCACAGAGGTTGGTCTGTGCCTTGTCCGTCTGCACAGAGGTTGGTCTGTGGCTTGTTCATCTGCACAGAGGTTGGTCTGTGCCTTGTCCGTCTGCACAGAGGTTGGTCTGTGGCTTGTCCGTCTGCATAGAGGTTGGTCTGTGCCTTGTTCATCTGCACAGAGGTTGGTCTGTGGCTTGTCCGTCTGCACAGAGGTTGGTCTGTGCCTTGTCCGTCTGCACAGAGGTTGGTCTGTGGCTTGTCCGTCTGCACAGAGGTTGGTCTGTGGCTGTCTGCACAGAGGTTGGTCTGTGGCTTGTCCGTCTGCACAGAGGTTGGTCTGTGGCTTGTCCGTCTGCACAGAGGTTGGTCTGTGGCTTGTCCGTCTGCACAGAGGTTGGTCTGTGGCTTGTCCGTCTGCACAGAGGTTGGTCTGTGGCTTGTCCGTCTGCACAGAGGTTGGTCTGTGGCTTGTCCGTCTGCACAGAGGTTGGTCTGTGCTTGTCCGTCTGCACAGAGGTTGGTCTGTGGCTTGTCCGTCTGCACAGAGGTTGGTCTGTGGCTTGTCCGTCTGCACAGTTGGGTTGGTCTGTGCACTTGTCCGTCTGCACAGAGGTTGGTCTGTGCCTTGTCCGTCTGCACAGAGGTTGGTCTGTGCCTTGTCCGTCTGCACAGAGGTTGGTCTGTGCCTTGTCCGTCTGCACAGAGGTTGGTCTGTGCCTTGTCCGTCTGCACAGAGGGTTGGTCTGTGCCTTGTGGTCCGTCTGCACAGAGGTTGGTCTGTGCCTTGTCCGTCTGCACAGAGGTTGGTCTGTGCCTTGTCCGTCTGCACAGAGGTTGGTCTGTGCCTTGTCCGTCTGCACAGAGGTTGGTCTGTGGCTTGTCTGTCTGCACAGAGGTTGGTCTGTGCCTTGTCCGTCTGCACAGAGGTTGGTCTGTCTTGTGTCTGCACAGAGGTTGGTCTGTGGCTTGTCCATCTGCACAGAGGTTGGTCTTGTGTGCCTTGTCTTGTCTGCACAGAGGTTGGTCTGTGCCTTGTCCGTCTGCACAGAGGTTGGTCTGTGGCTTGTCCGTCTGCACAGAGGTTGGTCTGTGCCTTGTCCGTCTGCACAGAGGTTGGTCTGTGGCTTGTCCGTCTGCACAGAGGTTGTCTGTCTTGTCCGTCTGCACAGAGGTTGGTCTGTGGCTTGTCCGTCTGCACAGAGGTTGGTCTGTGGCTTGTCCGTCTGCACAGAGGTTGGTCTGTGGCTTGTCCGTCTGCACAGAGGTTGGTCTGTGGCTTGTCCGTCTGCACAGAGGTTGATCTGTGGCTTGTCCGTCTGCACAGAGGTTGGTCTGTGGCTTGTCCATTTGCACAGAGGTTAGTCTGTGGCTTGTCCATTTGCACAGAGGTTGGTCTGTGGCTTGTCCGTCTGCACAGAGGTTGGTCTGTGGCTTGTCCATCTGCAAAAAGGTTGGTCTGTGCCTTGTCCATTTGCACAGAG